TTTGACCCGGATCTGCCACGTTAATAATCAAAATCCTCAGAAAATGGGATCAGGGCACCCCTATTTACCTACACTGCAAAATTCTTGCAAAGAATTTTGAGGCATTGTAGGGAAGTTTGCATTGCAAACTATTTTCTTTCCATTCCAAACTATTTTCCTCGTAAGTAAGAAATTGTCTGCAGGGCTACGAACTGATTCTTCGCAGCGTTACGAACGATTTTCTTCGTAAGGTGCGAAGAATTAGTTCGCAATGCGAAGGATTTAGTTTGCAATGCAAAGCATTTTACAACTCTTGAAAATTCTTTGCAATGCAAAGAATTGTTCATCGCAAGCTTTTTACAGTGTAGTGATGTCGTACGTGCGGTGCACCCAATATCAATTATGTTTTCGGTCCGCTTATTTTGGATTCCAGCCCACTTTGAGCTGGAGGCCGAAAAGTGTTACTTTTCACCCGAAGACATAATTTTGCGGCCGTTCCGACGGCTGGAAGGGCTGCCGGTGTGACCAAACGAACTTGGCAGCTTGTCTTAAGATACCCTGAAGTACTTGTTTCATGGACCACGTTTTTGATCCCAGATTGTCGACCCACCTTAGAGCAGATTTACACCATGAATAATTGAGTGATTTGTTGCTACACTCCCATTTAGGTACCAGCTGCCACGGACTCAGCTTAACTCTTGGATGTGTATTGCCTGGCGTGAATCGCGGTACGACTCTCTGCATATAAACACGGTAAACACCGATGGCTCCAAAGACTACGGACTGTTCCAGATAAACAATCGCTGGTGGTGTACTAACAGTGTAAGTCAAACCATCCTTCCGCTTCCTTAAAAAAAAGAAAAAAAAAGCGACACAATTTCTTGTAAGAAACACCATTTCTAAATCAAAACCAGGAAGACTATTTTCGTTGCATGCACTTGCTTCAAGTCAATGTACTCCATTTGAAGTCCTTGCATTTCGAAGTGGTCATTTTCTCAAGACTAAGGACTAAGAAACGGATTATAGTTTGTTGCAATGCTTGATCATATGGTCTTCACTCGGCTAACATGTTTACCACCATACCCAGTGCTTCCCTCTGAAAAAACAAAAGGACTCAAAGTATTTTAATGGATTTACAAAGGCAGTAAAAATTACCACCCATTCAGTGGCATTTTAAGGTGATACATACCCATTGAACGTTAAAGTTTTACATGTTTTAACTTATGTTCAAAAATATGTAAAAATGACTAAATTTGGCCCAAGAGAGGTTCCCCTTAATTACTTTAACTTTCTGATAATTGGCTGAGCGATTAGCGAAGCCCATAACTCCACTGACCGGAAAAGTTTCATTCTGTTTGTCTGTTTGTGTGTTTGTTTGTTTGTCTGTATGCACGATAACTCGAGAATAAATTGAGATAGCGATCTGGGAATTTCAGGGTCGTTTTGTATCATAAAAAGACAGATCGAGTTCGAAGATGAGCTTTCTAGCTCAAAAATTGACTTTGTAAAAAATCAAAAACCACAAGTTGCAAAATATTACTTGTTTTCAAATATTTTTTTGGGGCTCCTTAAGAGTAACTCGTGAAAGTAGAACCCCATGGGCAAAAATTTCGTCTGTTTTGCTCTATCTTGTACCGTTCGGGTGCTAGGGGGCATTTCTTGACAAAAATGAGGTGAAAATGACCAAATAGTCTGTTAAATCGTAAAAAAAAAAAATACTTAACATCCACAAATTGTATATGCACTTCTGTTAACTCGTCTCGGGTGTCAGCGCCGCAGGCCTAGCTATATGTGCGCCAGGCGCGTCGCAGCGTAACAGTGTTTCGTGAGATATCGCGAAGCCTGTTACGCGAGATGTGGTCTGGCGTACATATTGCTAGTTAAAAAGTCGAATTTTCTCAGATTGTTATGTAAAAATCAACGTTTTAGTGATGGTAGATAATCTAGGGACCCTTGAGCCCAAAAGAGGGTGTGGTTCGACTCGTAACGTGTGGTCTAAGTATTATTCCCTGTACAATTCTGTGACATGAAGCCTTTTTTACGATCTAGTAGACCATTTTGTCTTTTTCACGTTGTTTTCGCCAAGAAATGTGCCATAGCATCGGAACGGTACAAGATAGAGCAAATCGGACGAAATTTTCGATCAGAGGGGTATACTTTCACGAGTTACCCATTATGAGACCATAAAAAAAATATTTGGAAAAAAATAATTGGCTGAGCGATTAGCGAAGCCTATTACTCCAGTGATGATCAAAAAGTTTCGCGTCTGTCTGTCTGTGTGTTTGTCTGTGCGCACGATAACTCGAGAACGAATTGAGCTAGCGACCTGGGATTTTCAGGGTCGTTTTGTGTCATAACAAGCAGG